ATTAATTCTAGTTTTGTTTGAGAATAACGTTTTTTATTAGCGTTAGCATTTTGGATAAAATTTTAATGGTACAGATAAATTTTGAAAACGCTAACGCTAAAGACTACCGTCAGATAGCATTTTTAAAACGCTAACGTTGATGCCAAAGGAGTAGAGATGGGCGAAAAAACCGAACTAACATGGTACCATACCGGACCGTAATGGTACCGAACCGTTTATAATGTTTTCAAACGGGATTGATTTTTTTTATCACGAATCGAAACCGAACCGATACCAAATGGGACGAACCGTGATGCATATATTTAAAATCGATGATCACGGACCGAACCGTCCAACGCTATATACGGAGTGCGTATCTCAAATAGTTATGGAGTATTTGTCTACTTTATCTTACCGTGTATAGAATACTTCGTATTTTATTATTTATTTTTAAACTCTCTCATTATTATTGTTGTTATTATATTTATCACTAGTATTCCTACCTGTGCAATGCACGGGTTCGGACGAATATCTTGTCGATTCTGAATTTATTCAATGCAATATTTTTTCCTCATGCATGATTTATAATAACACAGAAAAGAAAGACAAAGTAAAAAGAATAATATTTGAGGAATTGAATCTACACACAACAAAGTTTGCTTTAATACCAAATTTTTTGAAAGATTTCATTGGATACAACATTTTTTGTATGGCTGCAAAGATTTCCATTGTCATCTAAGACTAATATTTTTAATCTTGTCTTTGTCACCACTCGCGAAACAGCAACATAAAGCTGACCATGAGTGAACAGTGACTTGGTTAAAAATAATCCAACAAATGACAATGTTTGACCTTGACTTTTGTTAATAGTCATAGCAAAACATAAGGCTATTGGAAATTGTCTTCTTTGGAACTTTAGAGGTAGTCCTGGATCAGACGGTACCAAATTCATCCAGGGTATGTAAACTTTTTCGCTCACTCGATTTCCCGAAACCACAATAGCACCAATAACATTCTTTCGCATCTCGTCAACAATTAATTTTGTAACATTACACAATCCAGATATTTGGTCAATGATCCTCAGTAACATAATTGGTACCCCTTTTTTAAAACTATCATGTGGTTTGGGATTCCCGAACATTTGATTTCATTCAAAAACTCAACTATTATCCCGTCGTCATCAACACCTACATCTGAATCTGTTTGGCATGATGAATCAGAATTCAAGTACACCATTTCATCTCCGGGAATGAGGGATAAGACAAATTCATTTACCATTTCTACAACTTCGAGCGTGGGTGTTAGTAGTGCCATGTCTTCAAAAAAAGAATAACTTCTCATATTCTCCAATAAGTTCGGATAAGTAAAGTCCACTATACTTTCGAGGGGTGAGCTGTTATCTATAGTTAAAAATTCGAGAGGAATTTCAGCGTCAGCAGTTCCATCAATCACTTGTCCTAGCTTTCCATCTCCAACTTTTATTATCCTATCAGAAAAATCTTGCGTGTCTCTATCTACGCAAGAGGACGTTGATGAATGCAATCTCATATTTTTCGTCAACTTAAAAACTTTACAATAAGACCACAAATTTGAAGAATTAATGGTAGCACCTACAATTTCATCTCTCGAAGCTCTGGGTAAAACAGGAAGAATTTGTCTGATATCACCTCCGAGTACAACCGCTTTCCCTCCAAATGGTTCATTTATTGAGTTTGGATTAGAGAACTTTATTAGATCTCTCATCGTGCGATCCAATGCCTCAAAAGCAAATCTATTCATCATACATGCTTCATCCCATATGATTAAACTTTCCTGGTGAATTAGTTCTGCTTTTGGGCTCCCTTGTTTGATGGCACACGTTGAACACTCTGTTAGCGCCAAAGGAATTGAAAATCTAGAGTGTGTTGTCCTTCCCCTAGGCAAAAGCAATGTTGCAATCCCACTGGATGCGACATTCAAGACAACTTTACCACTTGATCTTAGAGAAGCAGACAATGATTTCTAAAGAAATGTTTTTCCAGTTCCACCGCAACCATACACAAAAAAGAATCCTCCTTTTCCAGCAGTCACAACTTCCATTATTTCATCGTATATCTTCCGCTGATCTTCATTCATCGTAGATAAGTATCCCATAAGATCAGATGACAACTTTTCTTTATCATAGTTTAACTCCTCAACCAATAAATTGTTTTGAAATGTATTGAGTGGATGTCATCTGGAAATGGCATACAATTAAATTCCCTCAAAGACCGTCCATTTGAATTAAGCAACTTTTCAATCTCAATCAGATATAAATTTTTTAGGTCTTCTTGAGAAATTATAAGCTCTGAAAAAAGAAATAGAAATAATGGAACTTATTTAATTCTACAAAGTTCTGAATAAATATTGTAGGTTTCAAGACAATGCATTATGTACAGATCAATATGTTAAAAAACTATTTCTTTATTGATATACCTTGATTACGCAATAGTCTCCTTTGATCAAATAAAATTCCATCCACCAGGCGTTCCCATGATTTTTCCCAAACAACTTGCGGGCGACTCATGGTATTTGTCACTAATAATGTGACGAACAACTTTCTAAGCTGATTCCCAGAACCTAACTCAGCAGCTTCTTTTATACCTTCAATAAATTCCCTATCATCAGCAAGTACCCCCAATGCATCGCATGCCTCCTCGAATGAGTTATACACAACATTGTTAATTGTCTTCAAGCTTTCATAACTTGTACACCCCCGCGACAGTTAATAGTATTCTCAAGTAGTATAACTTTCCGGTTCCTACAGGCATGTATTGTAAGCGGCCTATTGATGGTATTTGTTTTCTCGGGTGTCATTCTCGCTCCTTGTTTTTGAACACAAAATGTCCTAGAAATTCTGCATACGTTAAATTTTCCCCCACTTTGTACTTTGAATTGACAATCATCCAAGCCTCAAACATTGAAGGCTTGTAAAGATTTTGTCTGGAAACATCTGTCAATTTTTGTTGCTCCTTAAAAGTGACAAATTTCTGCCCTGGGAGATGGAAATTCAACCTCAATACTGCTGGCCATCTGTGGTGTATAAGAGGATTCTCCAAGATGTTTCACACCATAAATATTAAACAGGAGGCTATAAAAATTAAACTCCACACCATAAAATATGTTCAAAAACAGGAGGCTATAAATCTGAAATTAAGGTCTGAAAAATAAGGACAGACTCAAGTCGCCAATACTTTAATAAAAAATATGTTGTTTATGGTGCTGAAAATAGAAGATTCAAGGACAGCAGACTTATTACACTTTAAGAACGGCAGAGTTATTATTACATAAATTATAAGAATTCCTTCTTAGGCACTATTAAAAAAATTTAGTCTCATGGTTTTAGGCACTGGAGAAACTTCAACATGAATAGGCACTAAAAAAACTAAACAGACTATAATGTGTTTTGTTTTTTAATACTTAGAATACAGACTATTGTGTTTAGTTTTTTCAATACTTTGAATCTGGAGAAACTTCAATAGACTAAAAAGTAAACTCCACACCATAAAATATGTTCAAAAACAGCAGACTATAAATCTGAAAATAAGGACAGGCTCAACTCTTCAGTACTTTAATAAAAAAAATTATTTTTTATGGTGCTGAAAATAGAAGCTTCAAGGAAAGCAGACTCATTATTCTTTAAGAACATCAGACTTATCATTCTTCATTTATTTATTCAATATGGGCAATTGAAGAATTTTGGTTTTTTATACAGATTAGTATAATTGTGTTTTGAAAGTAAAAGCAAAATAACCTTCCAGCCACTAAAAAATTATTAGAAATCCTATTAAACATAAATTTTATATTGTATGCAAAATACGAATAAGAGTACAATTCTTACATGTTCGTCCATGAATATAATCTCAAAAGAATTCGTCATCTTCTCATCATTATACACTGGCTTGTACAGTCGAGTCACACGAACCAAAACTCTCCAGCATTCACTTGATGGATAGATCTTCAGCAAAGGGTGGATCGGTTTGGAAGACATATCGATTAATCAGAGGTTTTAGGTATGAACGCGGCTTACAATGAAAAAATAGATTGATGAAATGGCTTACTTAAAATTTGATTTATATATGACATAATATAAATCGCAAGAAGGAAACTTACAGCAATAAGGTAGAAAATCCAGAGATTTGAACCGGAAAATTCAAAAGAAGAACAAATTTCGCAGACACTAATCATCATAAGAAGGAAAGAAGGCCAATCATCCCAAAAACAATTACTCGTATGATTTTTTAAGAAAAGGGAAAGTTACCTATTCTTGGTTCCGATCGTTGGAATCTCCATGAAGAAGGACCGTGAAGAAGGAAAGAGATTAATTCCAATCACATATTCTCTGAAATCTCATTGTGGAGACATTCGAAGATGAATATCGCAGGGAGGTGCAATCGAAGGAAAGTGCTGCTGATGTCTAGCTTCATTTAGACTTGCAGATGAATTCCACACAGAGTAGCCCAAATAAAAGAAGCCCAAAGTAATGAATTATTATCCAACCCGTTTGAAATATTGAGTAAGTCCAATATGATGACATGGCTTATGATGTGTCAAAAAAAATCCCCGTCAGCATGACAAATGTCAAAATTCTGGGAGTTAAGCTCCCAAATATAATATATAAAGGATAAAGGATTACTATTAGCATTATTTTTTTATAATTATTAGCATTCCAATATTATATGAATTGGGAAAAAAATTATTTTTTTAACTTTGAACTTATTATCTTTTATTCTTTATGTTTATGATCCGTTTAAATTTGAAATCAATACTTTTATCTAACAAACTTGTGCTTTTTTATACAAACTTATACATTAAATTCAATAATTTTTAAGTAATGTACATTCATTTTTTTGACACGGTTTGAGCATGGGTATGGTATTGTATCGTTCCGTTTCAAAATGAAATGGTACCAAATGGTTTTATAATTTATCACGTACCGATACCAAACCGTTTAAATAAGAACGATCCGTGATAAGTTCCGGTAGTATCACAGACCGCGTCGACCCTTACAAACGAGGCCTTTATCAACGGAACACCAATGTCTGAGGTCATAATATGACCACGCTTTCAAAACTCTTACGGTTTTAAATATTTTGTAAAATTACAAAATTGTTTTTAAATTTTATCCCAATGTTTCCGTCGGAGGGCACCGAGTCACCGACTATTAGGATTTAGGAACAAAGGAAGAAGAAGACATGGCGAAGCAGCTTTGCCGTCAGTTCACGTCAATGATCGCCCAGTCTAAACCCGGCTCAGGCATATCGGAGTGTTCACCAGGCAGGCTCATCTGTTCATCAGCTAAAAGATTTCAGTTCCACGAAGAGAATCGTCCAGATCTCGCCGAGACCAACTCCGAGGAGAAGGAGAAGCTTCAAAACGAAAACGCCGATCGAGAATCCGAAAACGGAGAGGGCGGCGGAGAAGGCGGCGGCGCTTCCTTCAATAAAAAAGCCAGAGAAATCGGCGGCCCGAAAGGTCCAGAGCCGACGCGCTATGGAGATTGGGAGAAAGGCGGTCGCTGCTCGGATTTCTGAAAATAAAAGCTTCAAGGAGGTATCTTCTACATCTCTTCTTCCATAAACCGCCGTGTCAGCTGTCAAAGGTTAGGGCATCCGCTGTTGGTTGTAATTTTGAACAATTAAAGCAATTGGAATGATTGAATTCCTTTCTCTGTTTCAATTTGAAGAACTTTTGCATTAATATAAATCCAGAAAGGTTGGAATTCTGTGGTTATTAACATGATGCTTGAAGAGTGCACAGATTTTATTGGTTGTGCTCAATTTGAAGTCCACCAGAGCTATTAACAAAGACTAAGGCTCCGTTCCGTTTAACTTATTTTTTCTGATCTGATCTGATTCTAATAAGTTCTGATCTGGTCTGATCTGATCTGATTGGATCTGATCTGATCTGATCTGATTGGATCTGATCTGATCTGGTAGGATCTGATCTGATCTGATTAATTATGATTTAGTTTAAAATTTCAAATCAATAATTTAATTTGACTTTATAATAACGTTTGAAAATTATAATGATAATTCATATTATAATATAATCAATATTTTTTATTTAATGATTCCTTTTTAATAAAATAAAAATAGTTAATTCATATATTAGAATAATCATTCATATTATAATGTAATAATATTTTTTATTTTATGATAATTTTTTTGTAAAATTAGAATTATACATTGGAATAAATATTTAATTTAGATATACATTTAAAAGTAATTAAATTTAGATAATCAATATATAGAAGAGATAGTATTTTTATTAAAATATCTCATCCTTATAAAAGATCAAAAGTTTAGAAACTCAAATTACAAGTAGCAATAAAAATATATTTTAAAAGTAGAATTAGATTGACATTGTCAATGTATNTAATTATGATTTAATTTAAAATTTCAAATCAATAATTTAATTTGACTTTATAATAACGTTTGAAAATTGTAATGATAATTCATATTATAATATAATCAATATTTTTTATTTAATGATTCCTTTTTAATAAAATAAAAATAGTTAATTCATATATTAGAATAATCATTCATATTATAATGTAATAATATTTTTTATTTTATGATAATTTTTTTGTAAAATTAGAATTATACATTGGAATAAATATTTAATTTAGATATACATTTAAAAGTAATTAAATTTAGATAATCAATATATAGAAGAGATAGTATTTTTATTAAAATATCTCATCCTTATAAAAGATCAAAAGTTTAAAAACTCAAATTACAAGTAGCAATAAAAATATATTTTAAAAGTAGAATTAGATTGACATTGTCAATGTATTTTAAAACTAATTTTTCCGACGTCTAATAATTAAGGATTACTTTCTCAGCTTTTTATTTAACCTATTTCTAAAGTTTATTTTTTTTCATTTTTAAGAACAACAACAATAATAATAATAATAATAATAATGACGATGATGATGATGATTATCATAATAATAATAATAATAATAATATAATAATAATAATAATAATAATAATAATTCTTGATGAGATCTTATTTTAATAAGTCTTGATCTGATATGATCTGATTGGATCTGATCTGATTGGATCTGATCTGATTGGATCTGATCTGATCTGATTCGATCTGATCTGATCTGATCTGATTTTAATAAGAATAAGAAAAAATAAGAAAAAATAAGAAAAAATAAGTTGAACGGAACGGGGCCCTAAATTGTATACACTAGCAAGTCCTTTGTATGAACAACCATACTAGGTGTATCGTGTACTCAAAGGGTTGTATCCCAAATGAGGCAAATTATATTTGTACCTTCCTTGGTATAGTCTGGTATTTTTGTAAATTTTGCAAACTTTTTATCTAATGTCCAGAACATATATGAGAACTATTATACGAAGTATATGATAATGAGTACTAGTAAATTTGAGAAGGAGTACCAGCACTTATGAGAATTAGCATATTTATATTTAATACAAATATGAATAAACTTGAGTTTTACTTCTCCATGCTCAGTGAGTATAAATGAGTAGGAATGAATCGAATAGAGGAAGAAGTTGATGATGGTACTGAACTTTTTAATTGTGAAAAAATTGAACAATACTTTATTTCAGAATGAACATTTCTTTATTTGAGAATGAATATTGTTTTTTTAAGAATGAACACTACGCTATTTATTATAATTATATTAGACAAATGTGTAAAAATAAATACTTCTTTATTTTAAAATGAGTACTACCTTTTCCAGAATGAGTACTGCGTATTTTGAAATGAATGTTTATATTTGTAGAAGAATGAGTACTACTTTATTTCAGAATGAGTACTAACGGGATGTACCTATTTCTAGGTACATCCGGATGTACCATATACCACCAACTCCCCAAATCATACATGTGCACTGATATTTTGATGGTTATTGGTTAACGTGACATAAAATATTAGTGAGATTGAAAAATTTTGCACAAGTATTTTGTGACAGTTTATACCGTATCGGTGCACACTAATGGCGACAACATCAGGTACTATCCTTGATGTACAAGTAGCTTTGTTCTTTTACGAACAACGAACTCTTTATCAGGTTTGGATAGAGCTGGCAAATCAGTTGGTTAGGTCGGGTTCGGATTCGGTCACTTCAAATTCGGGTTTGGGTCATTTCGGATTCGAGTTGAGAATTATATGTCCATGACCCAGTATCATTGGGTTCGGGTCGAACCAATCGGTTATGACTTTGGTTTTTACTCTCTCCGTCCTAAAATTAACTTCCCAGTTTGACTTTTCTAGTCAAGCTTTTTAAACTTTGACCGTATATTACGGAAAAAATAAATTGAATTTTCATATAAATTTATTAGCAATATATTCATTTTGAAACATAGTTTTGAAATATATAATTTTTATAAAATATATTAATATAAAACTTGAGATATTGATGATCAAAGTGTCGCATAGGAGACCGTGAAAAGTCAAATGAGAAGTTAATTTTAGGACGGAGGGAGTAACATTTTTAAATTTACATCAACCCTTACATTTTCTATTAAATATATTTAAAATATCAAAAAATATGTATTAAATTTATTAGATTATTCTATTTTAAATCCTGAATTTTTTTAGATATATAAATCAATGTAAATAATTTAAAAAATGCTTAAGTTTTTAAAAAAGTAAGATAATTATGCAATATCATTAAAAAGTTGTTTGAAAATATAAATTTATACATTAAAAACGAGTAGTAAAGTGCATGATTTTGAAAAACTCTTACATTAGCGGGTCGGTCAGGTCGGGTTTGGTCAAGTTTGACCTATGTTTAATGGGTTATTTCGGATTCGGTCATCAAAATCTTTGTTCAAAACCCAGTGTTTTCAGGTTGGGTTTCGAGTCAAAAACAGGTCGAGTCATTTTTTGCCAGGTCTAGGTTTGGATGAGTGTTTATATTCACCTTTGATAAATTTTACGTATGCATTTTCATGGATTATTTGATAAAATTAAATAGGTAGTCACTATTTATTTTGTCGAACTTTTGATGTACTCCGTAATATTTAAATAGTACATATGTAGTTTGCGGTTTTTTATTTCTATACATTTTTATAGATAAAATTATTTTAAAGACGATCAATTCAGAACGGAGAGAGTATGGCATAAATTGGACCTAACTATGATGGTTATCCCGTTCGCGTTTTGTGAATGGGCCTTGTTTCGGAGTCGAATTATTCAAACTGTTATCATGTTGGTTCTGCCATATTTACAAATTGGGCTATCGCGACATATCTCAAACAGGCTTCCTTCCGCCTATGGAAGGTTTCGCATTGCAGGCCCAACTAATTACAAAATTGACGGGATATATTGAATACGGAGTAATTTGTTATACAATTGGGCCGTTCTTTAATGTTAGTATTTTGTTTCAAAAACATGTATGCAAAATGAACAAATGCACAATCAGCTGTATTTCTTTTACTTCTAAAAAAAAAGCTTAATACGGAGTATAAGTTACTCTGTATTTGTTACTTTGAGGATGTTTAGGAGTGATTAACTTATAGATAAAGTGATTTCTACAAAATCTGAAAGCAAAATCACCTCATACTTGCTTCTCCGAAACGGTGTTATATGTACAAAACTACAAAATAATAGTGATGAAAAGTAGAAGCTGACATGCCAAACAGAATAAAATCACTTCCACTCAAAGCAGAAGCTAAATTATTAGCACTGCCAAACACCCTCTTTGTATTATTTAGGACTAAAACTATTTTATCAACACTTTCAAGGAGGGTCAATATAAAATGCCAGAAACACAATGCCATGTTGTGCCATTGCACATCACAAACGCTCCTATTTAATGGATAAAAATAAAATGGATCCTATTTTGGTATATATTTAATGTCTAGTCATATTAAGATTGATTTTTTAATTAAAAAATCCTCAATGAAATATTGTAAATCGAAATAGAAGTCTTATTTTGAGACGAAGAGATTATCTAAAAATGAAATGAAAATGATTAGATGGGCTTGATGGGGTACTCCATTTTCTTCATAAAAATGTTCTATTTCATTTTGCGATATTTGACCAAAGTTGGTTTCATTTAAAATTTTATTGAAAATATATTTCCAAATAAAAAATTGCAGTAAAGTTTACATATTTAAAATTACATCGAATATTGTTAGAATATAAATAAAGCATCCTGGGCCACAACCACAAGCTTGAGCTTTTGGTTGAGTTGGTTCCTTGATATGGTATCAGAGCCTTCTTGACTAAGAGGTCACGGGTTCGAAACTCAGCGCCACCCAGTTTTAAGAAAATTAAAGTTTCACGTGCAAGGCTCGAAAAAAGACTACGCCTGCACGTGAGGGGCGTGTTAGAATATAAATAAGTCATCCTGGGCCACAACCACAAGCTTGAGCTTTTGGTTGAGTTGGTTCCTTGATAAATATTCTACTCTATTTGTTCTAAATTAAAGTCCCACTTTAACTGGACACATACTTTTTTTAATGTTATTGATTCTATTACAATATAGTATATGTTCAGTCTCTAATGGGGCTCAAACTTGGTCGAACTTCTTCATGAACTTTGAGGAGTGATCTTCCTACCACTCAAGTATGGGGAGAATTTCTGCTTACACCCATGCTAAAGCAATCTTAAAATTTTACCCTGAAATAAAACAACAACAGGAACAACAACAATAACAATTTTCTTAAATCCCACATGAGTAGGTTCTGAGGGTGTGGGTATGCATACTTTACCATACTTGAAAGTAGAGACGCTGTTTCGAAAGAGACTTCCGACTCAGCATCAAAAGTTGCATTGATTGAGTGACTGCTATTTCATTAATTAAAGAAGTGCAGACAATTTAGAAATCTATTTTTCTTTATTCTATCACACTCTAATGAAGCTAAAAATAATAAATTTTTGGCTCCATTGAAGATGATAGGAACCATTGAAATAAAAATGATTGAAAATAAGAGAGAATATGAGTGGTCTCGAAAAATCAGAGGTCCTAAATGAGATGAAAAACGAGCGCTTGACTCTAAAAATGAATCATTTAAACTAATTTTTTAAGACATCAATTACCATTATAGTAATACACATAATATAATCAATTATTATAATTAAATATTGTAATACCTTTAAATAAAATTAAGGTTTTAAGTTTTTATTAAAAACATACTCTCTATTGCAAAATGTTTACCACATTCCACAAAACAAAGTGAGTTTTTTTTATTCATTTTATTTAATGGTTGGTATAAAAATAAAAAATAAAATGTATTTAAAAATTATATCAAAAATTCTTTCCAACGGGATGTGATAAGAATATTTTATTTTATCAAATAATCAATAAAAACATGCAAATAAATAAAAGGTTTTATAATTTTTGAATTGTGAACCGTGAGATTTTTTGTGATAGAGGAAGGGGCTGTTTGAAGTCTGAACCATTAAGTGATGAACCAAACCATTAAAAGCTAGTATATTGCTTAACTATTCAGAGACAAATGTCTGATCAATTTAGATAAGAGGTCTTAACCATTCAGACTTTGTATAATACTTAACCATTCAGAGGCAAATGTCTGAACCATTCAGAAATCTGAACCATTAAGAGACTGAAACAAACAGTCTGAACCATTCAGACATCTGAACCATTAATAGGCTGAAACAAACATTCCCGAAGTATGTGTTTAGCATATAAAAAATTAGAAAATTCCCCCCTCCCCAAATAAAAAAATGGGTCTGGGTTAGTATGGCACCTTGGCATTCATTTGGACCAACTTTGAGAGATGTTGTGTAAAAGTGGTTGAAAAAGATACAAAATATTTGAAAAAGTATGGATAATATGATTTTTAATGAGTTATTATTCTCTCTCTTCTAATTTAAATTACTTGTTTTGATTTTTTACTAGATTTTTTTAGTATAATTTATTTGACAACTCGAACGAAACTAAAAATAAAAATTGCATTTTGAAAAACCATGAAAAGCTCTACGAAAAAAGAGAACTTGACTATATCAAAGAATGAAATAAGAAATTAATTTTGGAACGCATGATTTGAAAAATGTGAATTTAATTCCAGTATGGAAGAACTACAGAAGTATACCCAAAAGGAGTATCTTATATATACCAGACAAACACAGACATTCTTTGATATACTCATACTTTTATTCAAAATTTTATGAGAGGGCAAATAAAATTTTAGCAAAAGTAACTCGGGTTAAATATATAGCTTGGTTAATCTCACCATGGTTAAGGCATCCCTGCATTTATCTTCCAATTTTAGGTATTTTATTAATGCATTTCAGCGCTGTTGCATATTTTGAGAGGTTTTGGCACAAAAATTTCAGCTCTCCCTCCAATGTTCTCTTCCCATTCCAATTCGATTGAAACTGGAGTCATGGCCATCACCATTTCGGCAGCCTTCTGATACTGATTCTAGTCCTCTGTAAGTATTTTTCGCAATACTTTTCCTGTGAATTTACATGTTTTTACTTCAAAACTTCCGTTGTTGCTGAATTGTATGGTTTCGAATCGAGTCTAGAGTTTGAGAAATTCGTTCTTCGTTAGCTGCTTGTATATGAAATTTGGTTCAGATCCATCAAGTGTTAATGCTGTTTCGATTAATTTATCTTGTTTGAAATCTGTAGCGTTTTTTCGAGAATTTGGATCGTCGTCGCGGGTTTAAGTTTTCTGCATCGACTATTGAATTTCAAAAGCTCAGTGACGTTTTTTCTTCTTGCTTTTTTGAGTAAATTTTAAATTTCAGTGATATCATCATCGAATTGCTGAATATAGTTTTGCTGCGTTAAGATTGAAAGCTATAGATTCATTCTGGATAATTGGTAGGGTACCATATCATGTTTGAACTTGGAAGCATATTCATCATTTGGAATGGTTCATGTCATATTTATCTTTGGAGTTTGCTTATATTCTGTACTTGACGGGAACATTGTTTATCAATGGCTTGACCTTAGTTTGAGTTTTTGTGGTTTAAGGAGTGATGGTAATATTATTCTATATTCTCATCTGATTTAGGTACAGAACGATCTCTAATTTGATAAAAGAACTGAGATTTTTGAGCTACGCGTTTTAATATTACTGAATTTCTCGCTGGATTGAAGAACATTTTGACTCATGTGAATGGAAGGCTGGGAGCAGAAATAAGTCAGAAGAGCATTCAGGAATCATTTGGTGAGGTGATATGGAGTGTAACAGAGATGAAGCGCTCAGGGCCAAATCAATTGCTGAGACGAAGTTTGAACAGAAAGACTTTGTTGGTGCAAAAAAGTTTGTCCTCAAAGCACAGGCATTGTTTCCGGGGCTTGAAGGTCTTTCCCAGTTGTCAACAGTCCTTGATGTGTATATATCTGCGGAAAATAAGATAAATGGAGAAGTTGACTGGTATGGAGTTCTGGGTGTGAGCCCCTCTGCAGATGATGAAACTGTGAGGAAACAGTACAGGAAATTGGCTCTTATACTTCACCCTGATAAAAACAAGCATCTAGGTGCCGATGGTGCATTTAAACTCCTCTCAGAGGCTTGGAGCTTGTTGTCTGATAAAGGTAATAGATTAATGTATAACCAGAGGAGAAGTTCAACAAGAGGAGGAACTCAGCAAAAAGCTCCAGTGCATTCCAGTGCCCCCACCCGAGCAAATGGGTTTCATAATAACCTCAGTGGTAATGCTAGTGTGCCACCTACTTCTCTCCGCCCTCCGTCAAAACCAAGAAACGACACTTTTTGGACCATTTGCCGCCGGTGCAACATGCACTATGAGTATCTGAAAGTATATCTCAACCAAACGCTCCTTTGCCCCAATTGTCGCGAGGCATTCATGGCCAAAGAGATGCCTCCACCTCATTCAGTCCCTCGGCCACAACATCCAATGAATTCAGTAAGAACTGCCACACATGGAAAACCACCAACAGGCAGTCATAGTTCTGCTAACGGGCGGGCGCCACATCCTGGAAAGGCTGGATTTGGTGAAAGCACTGATCCCTCAATTGCGGTTAAAGCAGCAAATGTCGTACAGCTGGCACACGAGAGAATGAAAAGAGAACGTGAGGGTTCACAGAATGCTTATGACTCTGTTTTGAAAAATGAAACTCTCAGTAAAAAGATGAGACTAGGCGAAGAGAGTAATCGGCACGCCTCAAATCCAACACATTGTTTTTCAGGTCGGCATACAAGGGAATTGACACCACATGAGACTAACAAGATTCTGATGGTGAAAGCTAAGAAGGAGATTCTCAAAAAGTTGAGTGTGTGGAGATCAGAAACTGTGCGCAAGGTGGCTCCAGGTAAAGAGAAAGAGAAGGTTAAAGAGAAAAAGAATGGAAAAGAAAAGAGCAACAACAAGAATGGAAAATTGAATTTGTCTTCTGTGAAAGAAGTGGATGATTTGAAATCTCCTGCTTCTGTTGATGAGCACGTGGACAAGGAAGATCCTACAGCAGCAACTATGAGTGTTCCGGATCCAGATTTTCATAATTTTGACCTGGATAGAACTGAAACTTGCTTTCAAGAGAATGAAGTTTGGGCAGCATACGATGATGATGATGGCATGCCCCGTTTCTATGCCTTGATCCATAAGGTTTTGTCAGTGAAACCCTTCAAACTGAAACTTAGTTGGCTTAACTCAAAAACCAATACCGAATTCGGTCCGATAAAATGGGTATCATCGGGTTTCTACAAAACGTGTGGTGAATTCAAAGCTGGAAGAGCTGAACAGAGCAAGTCTCTTAATGCTTTCTCACACAAGGTTAAGTTTTCCAAGGAACCTCATGGAGCTGTTCACATTTTCCCACAGAAAGGGGAGGTGTGGGCTCTTTTTAGAAACTGGTCTCCCGACTGGAATGAGCAGACCCCTGACGAAGTGATACACAAGTATGACATGGTAATAGTACTCGACGACTATGATCAGGCAAATGGTGTCTCGGTTTCTCCACTTGTTAAGGTCAGTGGTTTCAAGACGGTGTTTCATCCTCATGCTGACCTCGAAAAGGTAAAACCAATACCAAAAGAAGAGATGTTTCGTTTCTCTCATCAGGTTCCGAGCCATGTGCTAACGGGCGAGGAAGGTCCAAATTCTCCAAAGGGTTACGTAGAGCTGGACCCTGCCGCCACTCCATTGGAACTTCTTCAGGTAATAACAACAGATGCTACTGATGAGGTGCAAACAATGCAGAAGAAAGGAGACGTTACAGAAGATGTTAATTAAGGAATTGCAAAGTTAGATTGGGGATTTAGATAGACATGATGAATTATTCATTTTGAAATATAAGTCTCTAGCTATTGAATGTTTTTGGACCATTCAAGGATGACTGTAGTTGAAGGAGATTATATGAGGTGCCGAAGCAGAAGAAGAAAGAAAACAAGATGGATGTATGCTTTTGTGAATGGAGGTAACTCTTAACACCATGATGTTTTTTGGTACTGCAAAGAGATCTCAAGTTAAGATTGTGTTATGATAGCTGGGTTTTTTGTGTTATGGTTTTTTATATGGGATGGCCTTTTGACAAGATGATAAAACAATTATGTTGATATTTTGATCAATTACATATCGATTAGTTGTTCTTCCAGTCCCATATAAACAGCACTGCACATTACATATTGCTGGTGTGTGTTCATTATCACATTTATGAATTTTCTTTTTTTGTTGTCAATTAGTGCAATGTTAGGGCCACCCCCCCCAACACACACACAAACACAATTTTGTGGGCTCTGAAGTGTGAGAAGTGGAAGAATGGAGGTATTTTTATGGACACCTGCAACCAGCCGAAATGGTATTTGCCCAAAAGACGTGGCTTTTCTCTCTGTTGGTCTCTACGTAAAGTTTACTGTAACTATTTTTCTTTCTGGTATCTGATGTTGAACCCCTGTCAGTTTGGCTCCACTGGACTGGTTCAGACCTGCTGTTTGACTTGGTATGGTAGACCGGATCCGGTGGTTTAGGACCATCACCCCTCCGTAGTTTTTATTCCCACTAACTCTCTCGGTAAATCCTCCATCCAGTTTCGACCTCAACCCATCTCTCTACCCACATCAATTAGGATAGCGGCCACTATGATCACTCAAAGAGAGTGGCCATGAAACTGATTTGTTTAGAAAAGGAGGGTGAACATTCTAATGATGGACACAGAAAATAAAAATAAAAAGTGAAATTGTAAATTAATGTTGAAGAGCTTTTCATATAGTTTTTAAATACGTAAATTTTATTTTTTAATTTTACCTCAATTCTCATACAAATTGAATTGAAAATATGTTTAGTTAAATTTTGTAATCCAAAATAGGCAATTTAACTATTTTAAACCATAATGGTTTTGTGTTTAAATTCTTACATAATTTAATAAAAAATGAAATTATGACATTCTTTGAGCATTGGTAACGGGCGAGGCAAATGCCAGCCACGCTTGCCACATCAGCTGCCAACATATATTTTGTCAAGCTTAGCATGGAGAGTCAAGCCGCTCCACCATGGAGATCAACCCATCTACAAGGCACTCCACTCCTCTTTTTTTTATTTTTTATTTAATTTTTTTATTTTTGAGAAAAAAAATCTCTTTTTTGTAAGGATTAGAACTATTTTTTAATGAAACAAATAGCAAAAATATTTTTTTAATAATTAAAATACATTACAAAAATTTAAGAAGTGACAAAAGTAATGACTTGCCACTACAGACCTTTCAATTTTACTTATTTGTCACACGCAGACTAGAATATTTTTTATTAGTTCAAATATTACACGTCAACGTGTGACATTTTTTTACCGCACCATTGTTGATGCTTTTAGAACAAAACAAGTTAAAAGAAATAAAATATGAGTATTTTCTTTTTTTGTAATACAACACAAAGAGTATAAAATAGGGAGTGATAAGGGGGTAGATTCGAGTTCGATTTCTTGAAATTGCCCTAGAAAGCAACTATTCTAAGCATATAATCTTTGCAAGTATCAGGTGCAGACTCCTCTCTCTGCCATCAATCTACGATCAAAATGTGTTTTACTTTTTTTCAATGACCACGGGCTTGAAGTCACTCTCAAGTTTGGGGCTCATCCTTTTAAAACACGGTCCACTAACTCATCCCCCTAACCACGTCAATTGCGGGGTGCAAGTTTAGTTGACTTTGGAGTCAAAATTTTTTACTTTAAAGTCAATTATACTTATGGGGCGCAATTGACGTATGTGGGGGGATGATTTGGGGTCGGGACATGGCGGGGGGCTTTATCAGGGGGTTAGGGGGTAGAAATCATCAATTTTATGAACAGAGCTCCGTAGGGGGCAGTGGCTTCCGTGGCCACTGAAATCCAGTGACCACCAAACCGGGCCGTAGATAAATTTAGCTTGTTCTATGGAAAATGTTTGGCAAAAAAAAGAAGTCAAAGCACACCCAAAAAGAATAACGCTCCAAATCAACGCTGCAAGTTGGCAAAGAAGAAGTGAAAGATGAAATGATGGGCTTTTGTTTGGTTAAGAAGTGAAAGATAGATAGAGATAGCTGTCCTTCTTCCCCACTATTATATGGGCCGCCCTTCTTGGCCTTTTACTGTACCCTTATACACCCGGTCATACCTTTTTCTAGGAGCAAAATACTAAAGTAGAAGTACAACATTAAAAGTATACCAAAATAGGATTATCATATTTTTATGCCCAACTTCTTCAATTTCATCCCCAAATTTAGTTGATTAAGAGGACAAAAATGAGGCCAACTAAATTTGGGAGATGAAATTGAAGGAGTTGGGCGGTTCGAGTCGGGCAGTTGTAGGAGGTTTGCCGAAAGGATTAGGAAGAACGAGTCATCAATTTTGCATACAGAGCACCACAGGTGTTCTAATTAGAGCCGGCGTCATTTCTTGACAGTTTGACATTAGTCAGTGACATTTAAACTGCCCTGGTGAGCTCATAATTGATTCTTATTCCTTACTCTCTCTGTCCATTTTACAGATTGACTACATAGCCAATCGATAGATTAAAACGGTAGTCAATCGACATAATGGAGAGGACAGACAAGGAGATTAAGAATGTAGAGATAACTTTCAAACCAACAGAATACTACTTCTTCCGTCCCGCCAAATATTTCCTGATCTGATTTTTGGGCGGAGAAACCGGTGAAGATTGACCAAAGTAAAATGACGACAATTGACACGAGTAGGGTTCGAGAAATGTCAAAATGGATAGGGCGTATAAGGTAGTTGAGGTATGTTCGGTTAGGTTTAAGAAAAGTAAAGATAATTATATCTATTTAACCCAAATTGAAATATTTTATGAGACAAGTAAGATATAAAACTTGAACACGTATTAAAATATTTTATGAGACATGATTAAAACTTGAAAACGTATTTTATGAGACAAGTAAGATATAAGTTTTCGATGCCATAATACAAAATGCTACCTATTAGATTTTAATATCAAAAGGAGAGTGTTGAAGAGTAATAGTAATATCCATGAAGATTGAAGAAATAATTGGCGATGGCCAAAAACATCCAAATTGGAACTATGCGGTGACTTGGTTTCCGGAAGCCAAGTTAGGGTGAATGAACCTTATCGTAAGCATATCAGTTTTCACTTTAAAGATGCACAACAAAAAGGCCAAATGCATTGAATATGGTGTATTTGCATGCTCAATCTATGTGACTACGACTACTCTTTATTACCCCCTTCCCCTCAAAACCCTCCCGAATACTAACCTGTCGGTGGACGTAGCTCAGCTGGTTGTTACGTGTTACGGAATGGACATCAAAGAAATAAAAAAAATTCCTTGTTCTTGTTGTTGTTGTTATTATATATGTAGATATTAGACAATTCATGTTGATTTTTCCTATTATTAGTAATGTTTGAGATAAATTAAAAACTTTTCTAAGCAAGAGATGATGCCATGATGGTATGTGGGATTCTAAAAAAATGAATATATGTGGATAAATGCGTCCTACTTGTTTAAGTGTTTAAGAGTGATGAGATAACTTTACAAATAATAATTAATTTAATTTACGTTCTTTTAGTCCTAAAAGTAATTCTATTACGCCATTGTAATGGAGGATATATGATTACAAGGTTTGAAAATTAAGAGAGATGACCATTGAAGCAAGACATAGGATAGTCATCATTTGAGCTAACAAACAAAGTTTTATAAACAGAGGAGTAGTGGGGAGAAGTGCCAAAGCCTGATAAGATTCGAGTTCGATTCCTGACAACTGCACTAAATATAGAGTCTCTGCAAGTACTAGGTATATATATATATATATATATATATATATATATATATATATATATTCTTACACACACACAAATTGAATTTTGTAGAGCTTTAGATATAATTATTAAATATGTAATTTTTATTTTATAATTTTACGCCTATATATAATCAAACAAATCGATTTCAAAATAATTTCAGTCAAATCTCATAAACTGAAACGGGAATAAAGTTTTAGGAGGGAGGAAGTATATTATAAAAATATTATTTTGAGTTTGAATTTAGTATAATGAATTTAAGATATATCACAACTTGATTTGATATTTATTATATTTTGGGTTTGAGTTTGAGATAAATTGTTGGAGATGGTTTTAAGATTCAATTTTGAGTGAAGGAGCAAAATAAGATTAAAACATTGATTATATATCAAAATAGGAGTAGAAAGATAGAACCCTCAAAATAGGAGTTGCTAACTCACCTTCTCACAAAACAATCAGACATCCTTTCTCCTGACCTCTTTAGTCCTTTCTGTTGCCCGAATGTAAACAAATAACTTGGGATGAACAAACTTGTTTTCTCACTGTCTTTTTACAATAACTTGAGATTTTCTTTGCTCGCCTTATTTGATTCATTTTTTGTACCTTCTGACGATGATGGAATATGAACTAACTTATGGTACTCATAACGCTAAGATTTAATTTATTTTTACCATCATCTTAATTTATTACGGTATTTATTATTTAGTTGTTGATAAAATAAATGATATTCCAATTATTATTGCAGAAGAATAATACCGCTCTCTATTGCCAAAACCACCCCCATAATATGCACCATCAACTTTACAATGCCACATAAATTGTCATACAGTGTCAAAAAAGACATAATGTCAAACATTACATTATATAATCTCACAACTAATAATGCATAATGCCACAGATGCCAATATGTAATGTCACAAATGCAAATATACAGTGTCACAAAGGCATAATGCCAAATCTTAGCCATATTGCCATGTACGATTGCCGGCAACCATCACCCCTCGCAGATCTACCTTTATGGCGGCTAGATGACCAACCGCCCCACACGGTGGTAGACCTCGTTTTCTTGATATCAAATTCCCATCCCAAAGCACCCAAACGAAATTCAAAGAAAATAAAATTTAATTAATGATGAAGAGAGAACTAGTCATTTTTGAAATCAAGGTTTTGAGAGAAGGAGGTGAGGTAGCGTGGTAGATTTGACAATGGTGTAGCGGCACGATGAATTTAAGAGGGGTGGGAGCGGCAGCGGCGATGGCGTTGAAATTAGGTGGCGTTGAAGGCAACAAATGCTATGGAACGTAGAAGCAAACCTGGAGCAAAAACGAGATCCAAGGAAGAGGGATTATTTTTGTCAATTTTGATTTTTGGAGCAACACTAAGAATGTGAGTGATGTTTTTTAATTTTAATTAACTCCTATTTTAGATATATACTCCCTCCGTCCCTCCGTTTTTGTCCACTTTTATTTTTGCACACCATCCAATGCACTTATTTAATCCATTTTATCTTGTAATTTGTTTATTAAAAAATTATAAAAATTATATATTAATAATCTATATGTTAAGACAAATCAAACAAGATCACACATGACTATATTTAGACTTACACATTGAGAGAATTTGATGAGTCAAAATGCTTAGATGAACAGTTCCAAAAATCAAAAGTGGACAAAAACTAGGAGACGGAGGGAGTAAGTTAGAGACTCCTATTTTGAGATATGTGTAATGATTTACTCTTATTTGGGGGTTTTCTTTTTAATTTTTTGGGATTGAACTTTTGACAATGAAAGATATTCACATGGCTTAGCTAACTACCATAATAGTTGTAGTGGAGGGGACCCCAAACTTTCATTACCATTTGTGTACATTATAATTGTTCTAGTAAAATACGGAGTATGTTTCCTTTTTTGTGCAACGATTTAACCGTAATAATCCATAAACAACAATTCTTAGTTTCAGCCCCGCCACTCTATTGTTGTTTGGTCAAGGTTTCGTAACCCACCCCTTTAACCCCCACCCTATTCCCAGCTTCCGTCTAGATCCTTATTTTACCTCTTTAAATGTGTAACTATTACTCAATTCATCCCCTAAACCCCTATCGCACCCACCCAATCCCACCAGTGGCGGATCCAAGAACTCATGTAGATGGAGGCATAATTGGTTAATATGTAATATAAAATTTTATTATAAAAGATAAATTATACTCTGTATTTAATAAAATACACTTCAATAAAATCAAACAAAAAACTAAAGACTAGCTTAATTACATAAGATTCTATTAATTTTTGTTGGGAGCACATAATTTTAGATGAGATCAACCACAATTTAGATGGGGGCATGCAGTCAAAGTAAAGAATTTTTTTTCAAAACAAAAAAATAATTTAACACCAAAATTTAGTAGAGGGCATTGGCCCCCAATTGCTTCTGAATAGATCCGCCCCTGATCCCATCCCTGCACTTCACCCTTTTACCCCATCCAAATGGGATGCGGTGGGAGGTTTAGGGGGAAGAGGATAGAAACCATCAAATTTTTATTTGGAAAACCGGAGGTCTTTGAAATAGGTGATTGTCATCCGTTGACACAAGATGACAGTGTCAATGAAACCTTGCCGTTTATTTATTTTGATTTTTAATTTATAATACTTCATTCGTTTGTTAAAATACTTCCTCTTTCATTTTTAACTTTTTCCAAAATATTTAGACTTTCTATTAAAAAATTAAAGTACTTTTACATCTACTTTTTTTTATCATACCTATCATATCATACGTTTCACAAATAATCTACGTATGACATCTTACTTTTACTCATCACATCACATTCTTTTAAAAATAGAAGTTCGCTTTTACTTTCTATTAAAAACCACATTTTATCTATACTTTTTTTACTCTACATATCACATCATACTTTTTCACTATTAGTTTATCCATCATATCTTACTTTTACTCATCACATCAAGACTAAAATTGAAAGTCAAACATAAATATAAATTCCTTATTTTGGCTTAAAGTCAAAATAGAAGTGATTTATTCAAATGGAAGAAATATTAATTATGAGAACTATTCCCCTAACTTGAGTGGTAAGATGCTTAGATGCCCACTTACAGGATCATGAGGAAGTTTACCCCATTTTGAAGCTCCAAGTAGAAGCGTTGGCTTTTTGTATCTTATTAGATTGAGAAATGTATGAACAGATACTACATTATAATAAAATCAATAGCATTGAAAAAATATTAATAATGAAATTTTTAATAGTGATTGGTGGATAACACTTACATTGGTCTACACACAGTGTAAGTGTAAGTTATTCTATTGCTGCAAGTTTTAAGTTAGTTTTCTCCTTTTAATTAATATAATTACGAAGTATTTTAATTATATAGGAGATGTTCTAGTGGTAGTAGATATCTTGATGCTTCATTTGTAAAATTCATAGTTTCTAACTCCTTACTCTTCGATCAGTTAATTCCTCACTCTGGCCCTGCTCGATAGTTGACCCAACCCCCCTCCTCCCCCCTACCAAAGGTGTACCCCATTTGTCCCCCACTCCCTCCATCACCACAAAAAAAGGCAAGAAAATAAAAAAAATTGAAATAAATAAAAATAAAATAAAATTATATGGTGGAGAAATGGGTGGGGGACAAATGAGGTACACCAAATGGTGTACCCCTAGTATTCCTCTTTTCTATGACATAATGGATATGGGTAATGATGTTATAACCTTTCTTTAATTATTATGACATTCAAATGACATTTGCTTTTTGGGCACTTATAGTGCTTATAGTGCTCCATTAGTAAACTTGATTCTTCACACCTCTTTAATCCCTTTCCAAACCCCCCTTATTAACTCGAGTAATTGGGACCACCTGACGAACTAGAGAGATTAAGAGAGTAAGAATTTGTTCTCTTCATTTGATATAATTGGATTTTTTCTGATTTTATTAGTGCATGATCTGATCTATTTCAAAATCTATTATAATTATATTTAAAGTTATTTTTTATATGATATGATGTGATTCGAATAAGAATAAGTAACACTCTCTCTATCCCAAAAAAAGATTTCATCTTTGACTTGAAACATAGATTAAGAAAAGTGAAATTGTGTGAGTGTAAGCGATGCAGGAGAACAAAAACTATAAAGACCACCAATTTTTTTAAGTGAAAAGTGATTTTTTTTAAAAGAAGGAAGAAGAAAATGTAAATAATATAAAGAATAAAAAGATAAAGTAATAAGAATAAATTGAAGTGGTTAAAAAAAACTTATCCAAGTGCAAAATGTCTGCGCTAAAGTCCATAAGGAGAAACGGACAAAAGACGAGTGGCACATCAGAAATAAAATGACAACTGTGGGGGCAAACACAGCAGCCACGAAACTCCCCACTTTTCTCACTTCACCTCGAACTAACTCATATATGTGCTGTCGTATCTAACTATATACCATTATAATAACCTCTCCTATTTATATTTTTTCTCTAATTCAAATTAAATTATTTGTTTATTATTAATATTGTCAAATTTTATTTATTTTTTCCTTTTTTTTGATAGTCATTACATGTCACCACTAGTTTTATAAATTAATATATAATTTTTATTTGTTAATTTTAAACTATTTTTCATTTAAAATGATTTAAAAATAATTCCAGCCAAACACGGTAAACCCAAAGAAGCAATACAAATTGGGAAGTATAATCTTTCGCACCTAATTTTCCACGATTACTTTCTTTCCTTCCAAAATAAAGTTTTTCTTGCCTTTAATGAAATTTGATTAAATTCATTTTAATTTGATTTATTTAAATATTCATATAAAAAATAACAAATGAGTTTATATATTTAAAAATGATACTCTTTATAAAAAATATAAAATATAAAATAAAATATTACGGAGTACTTAATGTTATTTTTAACCATAAAAGTCTCCGAATGACATAATTTAGCATGAATTTGCTACCTCAATATGACATGCAACCCAGCAATTCTATTTCAATCGACACAAATCATATTAATGTTTAATTTTTTTCATTTTCCCTAAAAAATAATAAACACCCCTCTCACACATCTAAACATGTTGAATCCTAACTTAATAATACTCTCGTGTGCTTCCCTATCTAGCTTTTATTATCTCACTACTTGCATATTACTTCCGTTGAAAATATTGGTTCAATTTTGACTTTTTGCAGTTAAAGTTGATAGTTTTGACAATTAACTAAATAAAATCTATGTCAGATAATATTAGATCAAGCAAAAAACCTTTATTTTGAAAATCAACAAAAACAACTTAGTATAATACAATCTATAATAGATAATATTGATACAAGATTAGATTTATCATGTAAAATATTTTCAAAATATTGTTTTATCTAATTAATATACCATGTAATTTTTTATTTAATTATAGGTTAAATATTTTGGGGCGGAGGAAAATATACATAAAGAGTAATTCATCTCTTCCATTCCATCAAACATTCTAAGTAAAATAATCATATAACTTCTTATTTTTTAAAATTTTTTGTATATAAATTTATTTGCTAAATAGATACATGAAATTTTCAAATAAATTACTCCTTAAAATGAAAATAGTTTCAATTAAAGATTATATGCCGAAGAACAAAATCTTTTTCTAGAACAGAGAGTATGTAAAATATAAGCCACACTTGTACACACACCCACTTGTGTAAGTATACTCCCTCCGCTCCAAAACTAGTTTCACTAATAATTTATTAAAATGATAAAATAGTCATATTATATTTTATTTTATAGAGTAGTTAATGTAGTTTTTAATATGCTATTTTAATTAGAAAATATAGAATATATCATTATGCAAATGAATTGAATTAAAAATAAGTTACACAACCATCATAATCGGAAGTAAAATTTTAGTTTTGGGATGGAGGAAATACTCGTGCTCCATTATTTTTGTCCCGATATTATATCACACATCCTTTGTTCATTTGTCTTAATATAAAGTTAACGTCCACGTGGCATGGATAGCTCAATTGGTCCAAGAGAAAGATATCAAGTTCGTTGGTGCTAGAATCGAATCCCGACAACTGCATTCATGTCGGGTCGGAGTGTGGGGGCTCCTGGGTAGTTGTTCCACTTGTTTTAAACAAAGTTTACATTTCTGTCTCCTTTGAGCAAATCTTAATTCTTATCACACAATTGTTTTTTAAATTAATTTAATTTGGATAAAGAGATTTTTGTTCCCATCCCACAAAATGGAGCATATAACAACAAGCAGATCGCCTTCCTGCGCTTTATTCTATTCTATCCTCTCTCTCTCTCTTCTCTACCCCCATGTGCCAACAACACCAACCAACTGCAGATTTGTATTTTTATACATGGCGATGACGATGACGATGATGAATCAATGGATGGATATGAGTAAATACTAACAAATCCAGACAAGTCGGTGGCTGAGAGAGAACCTCCGATTCTCCCTATGCCGGTGCCGGCTTCCGAAGCTTAAGCGAGTCAACTCGCCCGCGTCTCGCCCACGGAGGATTCGAGTTGCCGGAGTGGAGGATCGCAGGAGTCTGCGTGGAGAAGAGGTTTTAGAGAGACGGAGGAGGGAGGAGGAGGAGGATGATGAACGCGACTGGTTACGGCGGATTTGAAAGGGATTGCTTGAGGAAACACCACGCGCACGCGCCGGCGGAGAATCAATGCAGCTCCTTTCTGATCAGGCACATCAAAGCACCTGTGAATCTCGTTCGTTACTTTCCTCTACATCTCTCCTGCTTTTGTTATGTTAATAATTTGAAATCGCGCCTCTCTGTCTGTGCTCAATTGAGTTTTAATAATTCCCTTAGGTCTCCGTGCACACCGCAGGCTGACTCCTCTTTGTAGATTTGATCAAATTTTTTTCGCTATATGCTTTCAAATATGTTCAATTTTGCATCCTGAGTTTTTGGATGGTTCCTAGATTTCGCTCTTCATTTCTTCAGCGCTTGTAATTTAAGGTTTTTGAGATTTATCATTATTTTTTTGGTTGAGAATTGAGATGCTTCTCCTTCACAGTTAGATTGCTCCTCTTTATATGTTCTGTTTCTACTCTGCATTTTTTTATTTAATTTTGACTGGCTGGAGCTGACAATGGGAGAAAATAGTCGAATTTAGAACTGAAAATTTCACCTCCTCTTCAAGCTTTGGTCAATAGTGACAATGGAAGAATGAAAACCAATAAACACAGTTTTATCTGAATTTTTGTGTGTTTCTGGATGAAGTGCATAATAGGACTGGAATTGAAACAGTGCAATCCAATGGGAGACAGACAGATCAGCTGTCATACATACAGATTACACATATATTTCATGCTCATAATATTTTTTAAGAATGTGGAGATTGTTTGTATTAACAGGTATGGTCATTGGTGAGAAGGTTCGATCAGCCACAGAGGTACAAACCCTTCATCAGCAGGTGCATTGCCGAAGAGAGCCTTAAGATTGGTAGTCTTAGAGAAGTTGATGTGAAGACAGGTCTTCCTGCCACGACAAGCACCGAAAGGTTGGAGGTTCTTGACGATGACGAGCATGTCCTCAGTGTGAGGATTGTTGGTGGCGATCACAGACTTCGTGTATGTATGCTTCAACAACAAATGCACCCAATTTCTTCTCTAAGTTGGAGTATTTCTCTTCGATCTCTCATTTGAATTTCTTCTTTTGCAGAATTATTCATCAGTCATCTCTGTGCATCCGGAGGTTATAGATGGAAGGGCTGGAACGCTGGTGATCGAGTCGTTTGTGGTGGACGTGCCAGAAGGGAACACGAACGATGAAACGTGCTACTTCGTTGAGGCATTGATCAAATGCAATCTGAAATCTCTTGCTGATGTTTCTGAACGGCTTGCTGCAGTCCAGGACGGCATGCCAGAAGAAGAAACCATAGACACTGNCCGAAAGGTTGGAGGTTCTTGACGACGACGAGCATGTCCTCAGTGTGAGGATTGTTGGTGGCGATCACAGACTTCGTGTATGTATGCTTCAAGCCTTCAACAACTAATGCACTCAATCTCTTCTCTAAGTGGAGTATTTCTCTTTGATCCCTCATTTGGATTTCTTCTTTTTTTTTGCAGAATTATTCATCGGTCATCTCTGTGCATCCAGAGGTTATAGATGGAAGGGCTGGAACGCTGGTGATCGAGTCGTTTGTGGTGGACGTGCCAGAAGGGAACACGAACGATGAAACGTGCTACTTTGTTGAGGCATTGATCAAATGCAACCTGAAATCTCTTGCTGATGTTTCTGAACGGCTTGCTGCAGCAGTCCAGGACGGCATGCCAGAAGATGAAACCATAGACACTGTTGGGTAAAAATCCGGTGGCCGTGACCGCTTATGTGTATATGCTTGACACATTTGGGTGTTTCTTTGGTTAGCTTTGTGTTTTTGCTTAGGTGTTTGTCCATGTTTCTACTAGGTTAGGTTTTTCAAGTCCCACGGGCTCTCTGATTGATTTAGACACCACCACCCCATTGAATTAGAGGTGTTAAACATTTAGTGGTAAACAAGAACGTGGCCTGTGCGTCCTTTTTCTCATGTCTTCTCTTTATAGAATTATTGTGCAGTTTGATTACATGTGAAAATCCCTTGTTTAGTTACATGATTGTGGTCAGTCCTTAGAAACCAGCAATGGATATAATCGAATGAAAACTGTTAGAATTACAAACAAAAGTCAAAAAACAAAAAAAAGGGGAAGTCTTCATACATATTGATCTCAGCCCAAACTCTTGGTGATACAATGATACATGAAGGGTTCGTTTGGTTTGGTGTAGAAAATGAGAAATAATTACGAGGAACTGAACACGTTTGTGTACAATAATGTCAAATGCCCAATGACTGTACATGTAATTTGCCCAAAACACTGCACTAAAGTTATAGAACAAAAATACAATTTGATCCAATTAAAAAAGCTAGTCCATTCCAATCAATCTATTGCACCCATCCCCATCCTCCCGCCTAGAAAACGACACGAATTCATATATCATTTGAATAAAAATTGATGTACCGAGTCGTTGCCCCGCGGAGAGTCTCCCCTCCGAGCAGTTGAAGCTAATGCCAAACGGACCCCACACACGTAGAGAGGAGCCAAATCTAAACCAACGCAAGTTCCTCGTCCTCTTGTTGTTGTTGGTGTTCTGTACTATCTGCAGAGGGTTGAGCTTCACCGTAGGGAAGAAGGATTTGCTTTATTTCTTCGGCTTTCAATGTCTCGCGCTCAAGAAGAGCTCTGGACAAAGCATGTAATGCCTTCTCATGCTGTAAGCAAGCAAAAAAAGTTGTTCTTTTCATCATTGGAGCAAGCAATTCACAATATATATGATATTGCAAAAAAAGAAAAGACAAACCTTTTTTAGGAGAACCTTCACACGGTCGTAAGCTTCTCTTAAGAGTTTAGCCACCTGAAAATGACCCACAAATGCAATGTCATCGACCTATAAGGGTTAACTCGTTACACCGAATACAAATTACTAAAAAGAAGAACACACACTTCGGCATCAATGCGCGATAGCGTATCCGCACTCGCCCGTTCTTTTATATGAATCGGTCCGATCGTGTCACTCATCCCACAAGATGCCACCTATGCCAGCAAAAGAGCCCAAAAAAGAATCATTTAGGGATGAAAATAAAGAGAAAAATATGCAAAGAAAGGTGTCTCTGTACCATGTAACGGGCGAGTTCAGTAGCAGTCTGGAGATCACTGTTCGCTCCTGTGGTGATATGGTCTTGACCAAAGACAAGCTCCTCGGCAGCTCTCCCTCCCATACAAACATCAAGCCGTGCTAATAACTGTTTTTTGCTGACTGAGCTCTCATCATCTGAAGGGAGCTGCGTCACCATCCCCAAGGCGGACCCACGTGGCATTATCGTTGCCTTATGGATCGGGTGTGCACCTTCCGTGTTCATTGCAACAATTGCGTGTCCACTCTCATGATATGCTGTTAGCTGAAATGAACCCAGAAATCACCATATTGATTATTTTTTTGCTTGAATAATTTTTTTTTCCAGCCTCTCTACTTTCAAGTAGTGGTGGGGATAAGGTTTGCGTACAAACACCTCCCCAAACCTAACTTTTTTGTGGGATTTTAAACGGTTTGTTATTGCTTAAATGTATTTTTGGCCATGGCAAAAAATACCTTTTTTTTTATTCCGGTCCATGTAAATTTGTTTGATTGTAAAATTTGCGTTTTTTTTGGGGGGGGGGGGGG